CTCCGAATGCCCTCAGGGGTGGTTGGGCTGGCCTGAGTGTTGTGGGGATCGAACTACAGCAACCTGAGGCTGACAGCTTTGTGGAAGCAGCCTCTTAAAGAACTGAGCTAAGGCCAGGCCCCCTAAATGCAGTTTGTCTTTTTTGTGGAACCGGGGATTGAACTCAGGCCCTTGCACTTGCCAGTGAAGTGGTTATTCCACTGAGCCATCTCCCCAGCCCCTAAAAATATTTTTAAAGAAAGAGTGAGTCCAGTAATTAATACTCTAACCCTGTCTTACCCACAAAATCCTATTGCCTTTTTTCTCTCATGCAATTTAGATGCAGTCATTTTCTTTTCTTTTCTTTTTTTTTTTTTTTTTTGTGGTTGACTCAGGCCACCCTTGGGGTGGGGCTGGTGTGGCATGTGGTGCCAGGCATGGAACTGTGGTCCCTGCACTTTGCCTAAGCTTGCCTAAGCAGGCACTTTAGACTGCTGAGCTATTACACTGGCCTGATACAGTCATTTTCAATAAAATCACTTTGACTTCAAGTCATGGTATATATCTTTCTAAGACAGTCTGTATTCGTTCTCACGTGAAATACATATGTATCAATAAAATATTTTAGATTGTTTTGCATGTTTTAAAAACTTCTTTAAATTATCTTTTTTCTTTCTTTTTATGTGTTTGGTACAGGGTCTACAGGATCTCACTATGTAGATTGGACTTGTAGTGATTCTCCTGTTTTCTCCCAAGCGCTGGGATCACAGGCACACGCCACCACGCCCAGTCCCAATTGCCATCTTATTGCACCTGGGGGCAGGGTGGGCTCAGTATACCGAGGATCAGACCCCAGCCACTGCGCTCTGCCAAAGCAGGTGCTTTAGAAGATATCTTTGCTAAATTTTCATTTTTAGCTTTATTAGTGCTAAGAAAAAAAATCCTGCACTGTGCTTTAAATTGGATTCTCTGGAATAGTATTTTTTCTTTTTACAAAAAAGAAAGGCTTTAGCTATGTTTCTAATATAACAGGTCCTCTTAGTCTTTCATTCTGGTAGAGCCAATTAGAATCCTATCAAATCAGCAAGGTCTTACCTCAAGGATCGATCACCACTAAATTAGCTAGTAAGATTAACTTTCTGTGCCAGTTCACATTGGTTGATTAAACCAGCACAGATTCTTAGAATAAAGTCCCTAAAACAATTATATAGATATGTAGTTTCCTGAAATAAAAATTTAACCTCACATTCATCATTCAATTACACTTTCATCTCGTGATATTAAAAGGCTACTGTAAAAAAAGGCTACTGTAACAAAGTATATATGTTAGAAATTAACTTAAATTTTAGGATTATTGATTTATAAATATATGCTGATAGTGCTCTGCTTTTATAAATACACGTACTCCATTACTTTCCATTCTAAAGAGCATTTATACTCTCCAAAAATCCTGGCTAGTTGGTACTTGGGTTTTCTAATTTCTACCTATCTGAATGTTGAATACTTTACAGCTTTATGTGTGTGATTTTTTTTTTGTCTGTTCTACTAATTTCCCAATTCTCTTTTTCAATTATATAGTCTTCCTTTTAATTTACTGAGAATTTTTTAAAATCATTTTTCTAAAATTTCTATGTAAGTCTTTTTCAAGCCTGGGGCTGGGGCCAGGGAGATGGCTTTTTCTTTCTTAGCCTACTAGATTATTTTGTACCTTTATCTTTTTGAAAATATTAAGCATATTACATGAAAATCTCTTTTAATTTGCCTCGTTATATATAGGTGGAGTGCCTACCCGGAAGTTCTCTGCTAAGCCTACCAACTCACTCTCATAGGACAGTCCTATGGGCTCAGTTCTGAAGCTATTCCTAGATGAGCACGCTTCTTGGGAAATCGTCTTGTTTTCATTCATTCTTTAACAATTATTTATTTATTTATGGTGGAACCAGGGATTGAACTCAGGCCCTTGTGCTTGTCAGGCAAGCGCTTATTCTACTGAGCTATCTCCCCAGCCCCCTAATTTTTTTATGTAAAGTTCTTGACTCAGGTTCTGCATTTAGATTTTTAAGGATAAGGAAAATCAATTTCCCTCCCCCATTAAGTAAAATTGTATCACTGGTATTGCCTGGTTGACTTGTTACATCTTCCAGATGGTCCACAAATTCTTTGCTGAGATCTTAATCTGCAGTGAAATCCTTCTTGCCGAATCTTTCCTGCATGGCAGCTCTTCCAGACGTTGAGTTTTCTGTAGTTTTCAGTTCCATCTCTCACTTAAACTTGGCCTGCCTTTATAATGAGATTGCAGCCCCTAACACATCATCTTTCTATTTCCATACTATTTGCTTAGCCTGCAATGGTTAATAGCCTCTCTTGATTAATCTGATCTGGTGCTCCTTCCTTTGCCTTGTGTTTCTGTTCATTTTAGACTAATGGTCCTCAAACTGATCCCTTATTATTATTACCTGCTTAGCTTCTTAAAAAGAAAAACAATGTAAGCATATAGCAAAACAGATATCTATTTCAAGACAATTAAACCAGAACCTTTCTGGTGGAGCCTGTTTGAGCATGGTTTGTCTTTGATTTGGGCTTATTTTATTTTTAATCCACTATTTTCATATACAGCCAGGGTAGAAAGCCCCTGTCTTATACTCAGGCCAATTAATATCTCTGATGAAAACTTCTCCAATTTCTCCAAGAATCGACTCTCTGATTTTGCTTCCTGAACACTTTGTTCTGTGCTATTCCAACACTCCGTACATTAACTTTCTCTTCAAAAAACAAATAGCCCCTCTTGTTTGGAAATGCGCCTTACACATTACCCTGGCCCTAGCACCTGTAATGTGTAGCATGTCTCAATGCGGCAGCATAAGGATGTAATCATGGATGGATGGGTGGACCCAAATCCAAGTGCTATTAACCATTAAGAATTGATCATTTTTTTCTGTTTTCTCTGGGATTACCAGTCTCTTTCCTGGCTCATAATGAAATAGAGCTGTTGGCTCCCCTTGGGTCATATGGAACAAAAACCACTAGGACTTTCAGATTTAAGATCCTGCCCCTGGAGATGGTCCTCGCTGCCAAGCGCAATGCAGCATGCTTCGTGAAAATCCCACTAGTCTCTGAATTCTCTGCCCTCTCGGGGCTATAATGGACCCTCAGCCCATATAATGTTTCCATTCTTTCTTCCCTAATGAACAGTCAGCAGTTAAGTATGCCAGTGTTGCTTTTCCCACAGGCAATGCCAATCCCTTGCTAATAAAACAAAATTAAATTAAAAACAAAAAAAAAGTTGGTTTAAAAGACTTTAAAGTTATTGCCAAACTGCTTTGTGTGATTAATATATTCTGCCAGTTCCATTACCACAAGGCTGCACCATGCAATTTAGTTCTTATTTAAATAGTTGTTTGGTTTGGTTATTCATTTATATGTGCATGCAATCATTTAGCAAATAGCTCATTGAACACCTAACATATGTACAGAACTTTTATTAATCTTAGCTCTCCAATTTAACTCTACACATATAAGGAAAAAGGAGTCTATATTTGGAACCAAAACGTGTCAGGTTAAATCTTATAAAATTGCCTTATTTGAAAAAAAAACAAAAAACAAAAAACACTTCTCTGCAATTTCATA